CTAAGAGATCTGTTTCGAACACCCGGAGATTGTTGGGTTCGATTCCGCTGTACAGTAATCTTTTTCTTGTTTACGAATTTATTTCAGGAAGAAAGTTGCCACACATTGTTTCAGACCAGGGTTGCTCAGTCGGTAGGAATTCAAATTCAGAACCAATACGTCCCGAGTTCAAACCCCGATCGGGGTCACTCGTTCTTATTCCTTCCGAGTTTGATACCATTCTGTGAGAAGGAAATAGGAAACTGCGCTCCATTGTCAGTCTGCCTAGACTGACGATGGCCAGTTCTATAATTAAAAGAAAGATCTGAAACCTGTATATTTTCGTAGGCATATGTTTTGACCCATCAATTGATGATTCTGAATAACATGTGGCAGGCTGAACTTGAGTTTTTGATAGCGATAAAATGACCATATAACTTTACTTTTATGGTTGCTTTCATTTCTGTAGGATAACAGGGCAATATTTTTTAGCAAAATTCTTAATAAGATACCTGGATAAGTTACATATGTTTATTAATCTATGAACGTTTAGGAAATGGATCAATTAATGGATCGACGTAAGCCGAAAACTGAACCTTGGAAACAGTTTCAAGTGGGAATTGTAGATCAGTACACAAACTATGCCTTTTTCCCTGCGAAAGATATCAATTTCAAAACGATTGGGTCGCCACTGTATCCGGTGGTCGCCCAGGTCGGCGTACCGCTGAACTACGGCTTGAATGCAGGTCAAACAGCTGAACAGCAACAAAAGGTGTTGGACAGGATCAACGCTTTATGTTTCAAAAATGCGAAGATAGACTGGTCGTCAGAAATAGGTCATAAGTTGAAAGAGTCGTTGATGCTATCCGATTTGGCGAAGAGGTTCGGCATCGAGTTCGAACTGCATCGCCTGTGGTACACCAACCTTCCGTTGTACAGTTTTATGTTGACCGGCATTTCGGCCTACGCCTATGGCGAGGGCCATCGTTTGTTGATAGCGGCGATGACGAAGCGAAATGTGCCAGTGTGGTTTAAAGTCATATTTTGTGGTGCTTGGCTGTTTTTCGTTTGTAGTGCATTCTTGAAGTGTCGTGAAATGCTGAACGTCTCTGCGTGGGTAAGTGGGGTCAAAGGTGCCCTGTCACTCGGCGAGGAGTACAGAAACGGCGCTGTCGAGTTTTACAGCAAAGAAATAAACAGGAACATTTGTGTTCGTCGGTTGCTCGGTTACAAAGGAGCCCTGCGCTACGGTGTCGACGGCGAGGTACTCTGGCACTGGTACGAGAAGCCGAGGCCAAAACTGACCGACTGCCTTCAGCTGGTCAACTCTTACGTTCCTGAACCATTTTACACCAAAGAGTGGACGAGGAGCGTATTGTTTTAGTTTTTGCGTGCTTCTTATGTAACGCTGTGTCATAATGACCATCGAATGCAAAATACCACTGCCATCTTTGCAGAATGTTTCAACAAGTTGCGGAGG